AGACTGATAAAAATTGAACAAGTATAATTATATAACATAACTTGAAAATCATTCGTATATATTGTGATGTGTGATTTAATATTATCTAACAAATAATAGGCCCACATGTATGTACGGAAAATTACTATATTACGCTAATCTTGCAATTAATAAAAATTATTTTATAGAGACCCTCGCCGCTCCTAGTTCACGACAAAAAATTTTCGCATGTCATTGTATTTATCCTGTTGTTTATAACGCAAAATTAGTACTAACTTGTGTGTTATTTGTTGTATGTTTTAATACAGAAAATCAACTATGTCTAACTTTAATGTACGTATTGTAAATGTTAGTTTAAATTATCCTACTGCCCTTTAAACCTGGCAAAGTGGATATCAAAATAGCATCTCATACTGTTTGTGAAAAATCTGTATTAGTCCTATACATATAATGTGATCGATCAGTAATTATTAGTCTAGTATGCGTCATAATCTGCATAGTTACGTAAGCATTTAAACTATCTTATTTCTATGTCACTTTACCGAAAAATAATTTCCACGATAATGTACTTCTTCATATGCTCATTATTTTCAGAGTTTCACAAATAAAAATGCTTAAAGTTTTTCAGTTAGATCAATATAATTTTAAATGTGATCTGCTATTTATTAAATATACACAGTTATGAGACTTTGTGTGCATAATTAATGTGACGTGAAATCTAAAACTGATCACACATGTAGAGTTAAATGAAACGATGATAAATACAATTTTCTTTGCAGCAGTGAATATATTTCGCGATCAGTCATTATTCCCGGTTAAAATTAAATCGATTAACTGTGATTACCACAACAAATCAACAAATTAATCTAAATAATAATTACATGAATAATATTCTTCGAGATAAAATTGTTGTAACATCTGAAAAAAATACTTTGCAATAAATTAATCGGTGTAAAGTCTTGCACCCGTACTGACCTTGACGAAAGAAACATTTTCGGTCATCGAAACGTAAATTTCGTTCATTTGCCACTTTCCGTACAATTCTAGTCAGTTGATAAAAACTATTCAACCCAAGATCGCTTATTTTGTTACAGCAAAAACTCACAATTTACTTATTTCTGCCTGCTGGCCTTTGTCGAAATATATCACATTATTAATTAATATTGTTATTGAATATGCATATAGTATTTATCAGTGGCGCCTCGTGGTTATATCACATTATTAATTAATATTGTTATAGAATATGCATATATTATTTATCAGTGGCGCCTCCTGGTCACCTTCTGAAAGAGTGAACAATTGCAAAGTGTTCGTGAGTTTTGATAAAACCTTTCCAGGCTGCGCCATATACAAAGGAATTAGAAATCGTCAAACTACCTTCTACACACAGATGTCTCTGCTATCGATTGTCATATTCTGTGAACCTTTATTCGCACATGTTCTAAACTGTGCTGTAAGAGTAAGCTTGTTTCTTAGTTTCTCTCGGCTGGTAGAAATTCTTGTACGGTCAAGGAAATGTTAAATACGGAGGATGGATGACTTTGAAATTATAGGCTGCAGCAGAGAAGGTAGCCAAGCAGTTGCAACACCAGCTGAACGAGGTGCAGGGAAAACTGGATGAAACCAATCGCACTCTCAATGACTTCGATTCTGCCAAGAAGAAGCTGTCCATCGAGAACTCTGACCTGCTGAGGCAGTTGGAGGAGGCTGAATCCCAGGTGTCGCAACTCAGCAAGCTCAAGATCTCGCTCACCACCCAGCTCGAAGACACCAAGCGACTGGCCGACGAAGAATCTAGGGTGAGAACACTTCATGTTAAACAAAACATTTTTGAAATAAATGCCTTTTAAGATATCTCTACAATATCATTTAAAATGCGATGTACATGAAATATTACACGTTTTATAAGTCGTTCACTGAGGAAGAATTTTATGACAGCCGCTAAACGAATTGGAATGTTTCATCCATACAGAGGAATGTCGTTTACCGTGGTTAGGAATGCGATTGGACCTTGTGTAATTTATTACGCATGTAAACGTGTTTACTTATTGGTCCAATGACAGCATCTGAGGCACACACGATGTTATACAGTGGGTTAGAACCCTGTATGGGTAGATTCATGTATATTGTGACCTGCTGAGCCTTCATACAGTGAGTGCTATTGAATGTCTAAAGTTAAATAAATATTACACGTCTTTAAATAAACTGTAACAGACGAATAAAATGAATCAGTTGTCATTAACATTAATATTTTTTTATGGATGAAGTTTTAGTTTATGTCAGGAGTTAGGTGAACGGAAGTCAGATGGCATTGCAGCCACAGATAGTCGCATTATATCAGTCCGTTATGATGAAGCAGTGCAGGAATCATTAGTGGCATGGAAAGACCGACCTTTTGTGAGAAATGTCTACTCCAGTGTCTTTTGTCCAACCTAAATCTCATATTGACTACCCTGGAATTAAATCTGGGCCTCTGCTGCGAGAATCTGGCAGTTAACTGCCAGAGATATGGCGCGGTGATTGGTAAATAACGTCAAAACCTGAAATGTGGTCATTAAATAACGTTGTTGAAATTGTAGGTTATTACACTAGTAGTGTGTTATACTGTCACAGATTCTAAATTATCTAGAAAGAGTCTGTTGCAAATGTCTGCAGGAGCGTGCAACTCTCCTGGGCAAGTTCCGTAACCTGGAACACGACCTCGACAATCTGAGAGAGCAGGTGGAGGAGGAAGCCGAGGGCAAGGCTGACATCCAGCGTCAGCTCTCCAAGGCCAACGCCGAAGCCCAGCTGTGGAGGTCCAAGTACGAGTCCGAAGGTGTTGCTCGCGCTGAAGAACTAGAGGAAGCCAAGTAAGTACATGTGTACATGGATTCAAGAATGCATGAACAATCGATTACCATCCAATGAATCCATCAGTGATTCTCAGACTGTTTTCTGAGGAACCCTGTGGTTCGATGCATAAGAATCTGCAATGGTAAAACTGTGAGCCACTGAATGCACGAAACATGCTTCTGCCCAACACAAGAACAATAATGTATTTGTGTCAGTAATTTTTGAGGTTATGTGACTGAAAAGCATTCAGAGTCTAGTTTTGGGTTCAGAACCAGACTTCTCTGGTGCAAGTTTTTTCACATGCCTTCCCCTTTCCTCGTCACTGTTAGTTAGTTAATTCCTTTTATTCCTCTTGGGAACACAGGGCTGATATTAAGCTCCTGCACCTCTCTCGGTTGTTGGCGAGTGCCTTTATTTCCATCCAACTTTTCCCCTGTGATCTTGCTTCATTTTCAATAGATCTCCACCACGTAATCCTCGGTCTTTCTCTTTTTTGTGCTCCTTGGGGGTTCCAGTCCAAAACTTGCTTTGAAATGCTCTCATCATCTTTCCTAAGCGTGTGTCCCAGCCACTTCCATTTCCTTTCCTCGTCACTGAGAAAGTCAAAACTTTGTGAGCATAAGGAAAATCAAGTTTCCTATCATTAGGAAATGGAAATCCTGCTCAATGACTGTTGTTATCTCAACAAATTGATTCCTGCCTGTGGTTTGCGCTCAGGTTGGAGACGCAAACTCCAATGTAGCATACCTGTGAATCATTCTCACACCTACCTTATTCCGGAATACTGACTTACTGTGAGAAAGCAGTTCCCCAGCTTCATGTCCAGTATTTTGATAATTTGACGTGAAGATCGGAGACGTCGCTCTTTTTGTGCCGTTTAAAAACTTCCCAAATTGTGTCAATTTTCAATCCGCAGCTTTTATGCTTTGTTTGAAATTTCATCACTGATGCAAGATTCGAAAAGGGGTTCCATGGATGAAACTGTTTGGGAACCGCTGTATTACATTTAAGCTCGGGCGTGTTCTTGAATTTTGGTTTGTTCTTCCTAGGCGCAGAATCAGAAACTTGATGAAGAACCCCTCCTAACCTGTGTGTTGAATAATCTAGAGTATGTAAGACAGTCAGTATCACAAAATCTTCAATATGGCAGGGCTGATGCTACAAATTGCACGCTATTATTTTAACTTATTTTGATGCCATTAACTGTAAGCTGCTCCTACATTATTATTGTTCTGTAAGTTATCTTAAGTGGTGCGGACTTTAATAAATTGGCTTAGTTTACTTAATGGGTGTTTTGTGCTCATTAAGCCCCGCCTCCTTAGTTTATCCCAGTGCTAGTAAGACTTTTCACTGCCGTCTTCTCAGCATTACAGAATTGTGTCACTGTTTTGGTTGCGCTACTTAATCTAGTTGCAGTATTGCGCTACGTGTCTGAAGGATACAGTAGGTAGAATTTCTATGTTTCTTAGATATATAAATAAAAAAAACTGCTTGGATGTTTTGTGTTGTGATTAGATGTAGATGTATTTGTCTGTGTTGATCAACTAATTATTGGGTAAATTGATTTCACTTTTAAAAATGTCATTCTTCTGCGCAGGCGTAAGCTGCAAGCCAGGCTTGCCGAGGCCGAGGAGACCATCGAATCTCTAAACCAGAAAGTCGTTGCCCTCGAAAAGACCAAACAGAGGTTAGCTACTGAGGTCGAGGATCTGCAGCTGGAAGTTGATCGTGCAACTGCTATTGCAAATGCTGCAGAGAAGAAGCAGAAGGCATTTGACAAAATCATCGGTGAATGGAAGCTTAAAGTTGATGACTTGGCTGCTGAGCTTGATGCTAGCCAGAAGGAGTGCCGCAACTATTCCACTGAACTGTTCCGTCTCAAGGGTGCCTACGAGGAGGGACAGGAACAACTGGAGGCTGTCCGCCGTGAAAACAAGAACTTGGCCGGTAAGCATCAAGTCACGTGAATGTCCACAGGATCAGACGCGATGGTTACTGACTTCAGTATACGATATTCCTTCACTTCTTGACTCAAGGTCCTGCTTTGTTAACAAACAGCAGTAAAATGTCCATAAATTACCTATTTTATACATGCAATGAAAATGGTTTTGTCTTAACTGAGTCATATAAAGAAATCAGACTATTTTTAAAGTGTATCTAAAGATGTAGAAGTTTTGATACGTAAATCTCCGTGGAAATGAGACGAAAGTACTAACTGCGACAAGAAAATATTAGACCACGAAAAAGTTGAAAGTCTGTCCCTTCTTTGATCCAAATATTTCTAAATACAATAATTTACAATCAAAACAAAGAAAGGTACATAATGATGTAGTGGTTGGTATTCCTGGTTTGTGTTTGGTAGCTTTGCATTTGAGTTTTGGCCTAGCAATTGGGTATCCTGATGGAGCTTTTTCGTGGTTTTCTCAGTTCGTCCATCCAAACACACAGACAGTATCTCAAAGTAGGTAATAACTACTTCATTCCATATCTTTCTTCTCAATTTTATGTTCACAGTTGTACTTCCATTCAAAGCTGTTGACAAAGGATCAGTCAGAGTAAAAAGTTATAAAAATTACCCCCTGTAGCCACTCTCAGTAAATATGAATCTTTAGGTCCGTGACACGCTACAAAATCATCACTATTTTGCCATTATTCAGAGCGCTATTTGTAGTACTGAGACATACGCCATATAACCTCACTTTCAGATGAGGTCAAGGATCTGTTGGATCAGATTGGCGAGGGTGGCCGCAACATCCATGAGATTGAGAAGGCCAGGAAGCGCCTGGAGGTTGAGAAGGATGAACTGCAGGCTGCTCTGGAAGAAGCTGAGGCTGCCCTGGAGCAGGAAGAGAACAAGGTGTTACGCAGCCAGCTTGAACTGTCTCAGGTGCGCCAGGAGATTGATCGCCGCATCCAGGAGAAGGAAGAGGAATTTGAGAACACTAGGTAAGGAAAATAACCAGCCTTAATGCTGTTCATGTGGAAACCTGTTCCTCACTTTTGAGATTTACGTACCAGGACAGGTTTTCTGCAAGTTTATGCTTTGGTATTATCGTGCCAGTCATCTTTGCACCAATGTCCCATTTTACCAGGATTTGCTATAGGAACAATTTAGGCTGAAATATCAAGGGACATAGTCGCCTTTACTCATTAGATATAACTACGCAAACATTTTATCAAGTTCATTGAAACTGAACTGACATAGATGTGCAATGGTTAACATTCCTCATTCATGTTCTGGAATGTCAGTTTTAAACCTCAACCTGGCCTTAACTCATTAAGGGCCTTTCGTGCCTTCCCTTGTATCTTCAAGGAAATTCTGTGATATAAACCTTAAAACCGGTCGAGTTATTCCATGTTTCATTTGATGAACCTTCACTAAATGAGCTAAGAAAATAAAATTTTAATGACGAACATAAATACTTTCATGAAGTCTGAGATTGCTAACTCAGTAAACTAAATGTTGAATGATCAAGATTCAGTTCTCAAAAGGTGCAGGGACCATTTACTTTACCACTGCGTCCAAATCATTTCTGGATCCCACGCAGTCTCTTACCCAATGAGTACTTGGGTTTAACCCCATCAGTCAGAACGTAGAACTGACCACTCACTTGCACTTAGCGCCAAGGTGACAAATGTGTAGAGCTTTCGTGTTATGTTGCTTCAACGCAGGAACAGCTTTACCCGTAAATTTTACATGAACGTTATTAAACGTCATGACTGAGTGGTTGGCACTACTGGGTAATACTTTGGAGGCCCCAGGTACAGATATTGGCCTAGGGACCGGCTATCTTGGCTGAGGGTTTTCCTTATTTCCTCCAGGCAAATGTCAGGATAGTAACCCTAAATTAGGCCATGACCATTTCCTTCCATATCCTTCTAGTTCATTACTTAATCATCCTATCATTCAATATGATACAGTCTAAACTCTTGACAGCATCATTAAATAAACCACAAATAAATACTAAATCTCAGACAGGCTTGTTCTTTGCCCATGTTTCTTTTTCTCAGTCACTATTTTTCATCTTCTCATTACTGAAGATTACCTCAGCACAGTTTATCTTGATACTCATAAATTCATTCTCTTGATAAATGAAGTGAAGTATATTTGTGTATCAGAGACTGAACATTTAATATTAAAAGGTTATTTTGAAATCGCTAACAAAGCTGTTGGTCCCGGAAAATATTTGAACCTAAATAAAAGAGACTAAGTAATTCAGAATGATAAGATACTCGAACAAAGCAGGATAGAATCTCCTGGACATATGGCTTGGATAGGGAAACAATAAATCATTATAGAATTCTTCCGGGGAAACCTGCTGAGTTCAAACTGCGTTCCATTTAAAGGAAGTAGTAAATACAACTGTTTTTCTCTTCCTGTCTTACACAAACTGAGAGTCTGTATGCTGCATTTTGATGTCTCGCAGAAAGAACCACCAGCGTGCCCTGGATTCCATGCAAGCCAGCTTGGAAGCTGAGGCCAAGGGAAAGGCTGAGGCACTCAGGCTGAAGAAGAAGTTGGAGGCTGACATCAATGAGCTTGAGATTGCTTTGGACCATGCTAACAAGGTGAGAACCTGCACGTCGTATACCTCTTTCAGATCATAAGTGGAAGAATATTATTTCACTTCTTGTCACATAATATCCAGGCAATTGCATTAATTTCACAAATCACGAAGTTAGTAATATTTAGTGTTTTATTTGTTTTAAAAATCCATCGCAAGCTGCAAAATATGAAGAGGTAAAGAGGTAGAAAGAAGCATATGAGGGGGGGAAAAAGAAGAGTTAGAGATGTAGAAACAAGAAAAAATGTAGGAACAGAGGAAGAGGCCAAAAATATAGAATATGTAGGATGAGGAACAAGGGGTAGGGGAAGGATATGAAGTAGAAGTTTAAAAAGAATATGGAGGGAAAGTGGAGGAATAATGTATTATCTAGACACTTGTATTGTTTGGGTTTTCTAAGAAAGAATAGCCTGTACCTGATTCTACTTATCTGAAATTGTGTAACATTTTTATTTAAATCCAAATATAAAATGAGATACGGAAAAACCTGCGAAGAGATAGATGAAGTAATTGTAATATTTGAAGCCAGAACAGCTTGAAATGGTAAATCTGATGTTAGTGATATACTCTCCTACTATTAAAAACTGTTCACTATTGATCAAATCATTTAATTAATCTAAATATGTCACTTTTAATTCAATTAACACATTTTGATACTTGAGTTATAATTAATAGATTTCCACAAATGAAAATGTAACATTTTCATAAAAGCATAAAAAAAGAAAGAAGGGGCATTTTATAATTATTACTCAGCGCAGAAAGGATTAAAAAATTATTGTACACTAATTCAGAGTCATCAAAAAATAAATTTTGTCCTCAGGCCAATGCTGAGTCGCAGAAGAACATCAAGCGCTACCAGCAACAGCTCAAGGATGTGCAGACCGCCCTAGAGGAGGAACAGCGTGCACGTGATGATGCCCGTGAGCTCCTTGGAATCTCAGAACGCCGTGCCAATGCCCTCCAGAATGAACTAGAGGAGTCTCGCACACTGTTGGAGCAGGCTGACCGTGGCCGGCGACAGGCTGAACAGGAATTGAGCGATGCCCATGAGCAGCTGAACGAGCTCTCTGCGCAGAACACATCCATCTCAGCTGCCAAGAGGAAACTTGAATCTGAATTGCAGACCCTGCATGTAAGTAATTCATATTTGTACCTTTGTTTCTGCAATTTTAAAATTCTAACTCACCTTCTTTTTGTTTTTGTACTATTATTTTAAAAGATTCTTTAGTCTCATATCTCACAGCTGTCAATCACTCCAGTATCTTTCCTTCTGATTTATTCTGGCCATCTTTTATAAATTCCTTCTGATCTTTTCTTTCTGGTGGCCCCCATTTACATCTTGTAGTTGCTGAAAGTGAATTTATAATTGTAGACATCTGTGTCCTCTCATTATTTATTTATTTCCATACCTACATAACACTTAATTTTCTATACTCTACGCAATATGTGCTTTGACAACCTCACTTGCATTCAGTTTCAAGTAATCTATCTTAAACATTTCCAAAAATAAATCTCTGCTGATTGTCTTTGATTCTGTGTTATTTTGTAAAGTACCTAAACTTTCTGAAATTATTTCAAAGTCTTGGCCATTGAGATAAACAAAATGGCTTTGTTTGAAATTCAAAACAAAATTTTAAAACTTTCACAAGAAATGCAACTTACATTACTGTTTCTGAAAACAACTTTATGAATCTTGGCAGAAAGAAGGATTAAGAAATGTATTGTAACAATACAGATAATATTAAAGAAATTCTTCTTTAAAATAATTTTCTTACTTTCATTTGCAGTCTGATCTGGATGAGCTATTGAATGAAGCTAAGAATTCTGAGGAGAAGGCAAAGAAGGCAATGGTCGATGCAGCACGATTGGCTGATGAACTTCGAGCAGAACAGGACCACGCACAGACACAAGAAAAGTTGCGCAAGGCACTTGAAACACAGATCAAAGAGCTCCAGGTATGAATTTTTATCTTTACTCTGTCTCGCTAGATAAGTGTTTGAAAAAAAGTAACATTCTTCGAAATTATTACCTACTCTTCATTAGCAACTGCTCATTTGACTGAAAATGCCTTGAAACAGGGTAGGCGCTGATATCAGGGGATGACTTTATATGCTTCCAAAAAATAATCACATAGTAAACATTATCCTAGCATATCTGTTAAACACATGAATTTACATACTGAGTTCCCAAATTACTATGCAGCCAAGTAAAAGTTCTTTTGAGTGTCATCCCAGTTTTTGACTTACATTTACCTCACAAGTAAAATATATTTTAAATTGCTTGTAGGTGCGTCTAGACGAGGCTGAGAGCAATGCACTCAAGGGAGGCAAGAAGGCAATCCAGAAACTGGAGCAACGTGTCCGTGAGCTGGAGAATGAGCTGGATGGTGAGCAGCGACGACATGCTGATGCACAGAAGAACCTGCGCAAATCAGAGAGGCGCATCAAGGAACTGAGCTTCCAGGGAGAGGAAGACCGTAAGAACCACGAGCGTATGCAAGACTTGGTTGACAAATTGCAGCAGAAGATCAAGACATACAAGAGGCAAATTGAGGAGGCTGTAAGTATTTCTCTCAACAGCATGTTTGAAATTTATTTTTAATTAAAACAACTTTATGTGATTTTTCTGTCATGTAACCGTATGTATATAACAATGACAAATTTTAATTGAATTTAAGTAATTTTTAATTTTACTTTCCAAAAGAAACTTCAACAACATTAAGAGAATTCTCTTTGGAACAGAAATGCATTTTAATATTAAAAATTTTACTTGCTAATTCTATTTTATAATCAAGATGCTAATAATAGTATTTTTGTAGTTTCAAAATTAAATATTTGATATTCATAAGCCACAAAAAATATGCATCTGAATTAATCTGTTTAAACAGCCACAAACACTCTCTACTCTGAGTATCTGATAACTCGCTATTCACATAATTGTTTACACAGGAGGAGATTGCAGCCCTCAATCTGGCCAAGTTCCGCAAGGCACAGCAGGAGCTGGAAGAGGCTGAGGAACGTGCTGACCTGGCCGAGCAGGCTATTTCAAAGTTCCGTGCGAAGGGACGATCAGGATCTACGGCACGTGGACTAAGCCCAGTGGTAAGTACATATACCAGAAGTTTAAGTTAATCAGGACATGCATCAGCATCAGAGACATGATGGTATCTAAATGTCAGAGAGTCCAAAATTTTGAAATTTATTAATTGAATGTTCTGACGGTATTCATGCCTCCAATTCAAATATTTAATAAATTGAATATATATTTTAAATCTACTAATAACATAATTAAGACTTAGAAATTTTGAAAGTGAACTGTAGGTAGAATAAACACCAAATAATTATCTTGCATTTTGAATTATAATCCAAAATTTCTTCTTCAAAAAAATGATCAAACTAAGAGTTGTATTTCTTTTCTGTCCTTTATGCAGCCTCAGGCAAAGTCCCGCAGGGTTCCAGTGGAGTAAACCACATTACTTCTCTTGTAAGTCAAGCGAGCCCCAAATTTGAATGCTGAGTGATTCCAAAAACCCAATATCCTCAAAAGTTTCAGAAAGACTTGGAAACGGTATCCACATATCCGCTTAGATTACGTGTACTCCTCCAACCCACCTTTATAGGCCCTTCTTGCTGTGTATAGTATGTTGTCTGTGTGTTCATCTTTCCAGTAAATCACAAATTTATCCATGTGTCTTCCATATAGCCACCTTTTATGAAACTGAAATGTTAAATTGTTAATGTTATGGAAATTTACATTTAGTAATGATTTTTCTGCATTAAATTTTTATTTTACAGAAACGTCATTGAAATTCCCTATAACATCTACATATTCAAAGAGTTATAATGTATTTTGTACATAATTTAATTTACAATTTATCCATTTGAATTAAGAAAATAGTAAAATTTTCAGAATTGTTCCAAGTGTAAATGAGTCATAACACTCTTCTTCAACCTAAGACATTCATGGTAAGAACAATTTGTTTTTGTTTTAAATTCGTTTTTTCAGGTTTTTACTTGGTGTATTAAATAGCTGTCATAACCATGTTATTACCCCTCCTGCTCTGGACAAGTTTCTGCATAATTTTCTTCACATCAGTTTCTTTGAAAGTAAAAGAACAAATTGGCTTTAGAGATATGTCCATGCTTGTAACTTATTCTATATGAACTAAGTATCTTAGCAACTATTGATTCCCTCCCAAAGGCAAATAAAATTGTAAAACTGGCCTACACAAAAGATTCATGTCTTCAGACATGATTAAATTACCAGGACCAACTGAGTCTCAATAGGCATTTTGGGTCCTCATAACAATTTGGTTATAAAACAGAATAATAGAGGATTGATATAAATGAACCACAGGACATAAGGCAGGAAACAGTGTGGTAACTTGAGAGGAATTACAAACTTTATATATTTTTGAAAATATTGAAAAATAAAACATTAAAAATGGTAACTTGAGAGGAATTACAAACTTTCCATATTTTTGAAAATATGGAAAAATAAAACAAAAAAAAGCACTGATAAACAAAGGAAAATTGACCAAAAAACTGTATGCAGTGTATGTCCAAATTAAATTTTGTAACTTGGTTTAGAAAGCATTAATTATTTCAAATATGCCCATCGTTATGCCTTGCAAGCATAACACATTCATTATCACTCTTATATTGTCTCTCCCTTATTTCCAAAATCACTCTGATAGATATCAGTGTGAAATGTGTTAAATTAATAATGGAGTTGATGTATCAACATTGATGATAATATATCAAATCTTCTTGACGATGGTGAAGAGTCAAGAGATAGGGATTAGCTCTATCTAGTGGGCCCAACTGTGTAGGAACCTGAAGACGGAGATAGAGTCCCATCTCCGAAACGTCGTTTTTTACGTTTTATATTTACTAGACGATGGAAGGTCCGGAGATAGGGATTAGCTCTATCTAGTGGGCCCAACTGTGTAGGAACCTGAAGACGGAGATAGAGTCCCATCTCCGAAACGTTGTTTTTTACGTTTTATATTTACTAGACGATGGATAATATCCAAGAAAATTTTTATTCAATTGATGATAATAGTTTTTATGAATAACAGTTTTTAATTTTACATTTTAAATACTGCATTCAAATAAATTTTATCATGTCTTTTTTCAACAACAACTAAAAGTAATGTATATGTCATGCAGAAACCTGATCCACAATTGCCCTACTAGACATAGACGTACCTTATAGCGTACATATTGGCATGGTGTTTGCAGTATCGGAATATCTCTTACCCCAAATCCTCACTTGCTTACTTTGTGCAGTGTTTGTATATATAAATATATATTTGTATATATGTGTTTATTTATATGGGATTTGAACAGTGACATCAATAGCCAACCTTCATGAAGAATCCAAATACTTATCAATACCATCTCCACTTCTAATGTTTGTCAGTGTACGCTGGTGTTTTCAGTTGTATTTTTCATTAGGAATATGAAAAGAACAGGAAAATGTAATTAAAAGAAATAACAGTCAACAGAAAATATATGTACAAAGCAATTTTATTTGTATTTTGCTGTTGGCTTAATTATATAGATTGTAATATTTATAATCCATTCTAATCAATATACAAGTGTCTTTTATTTAAGACTTCTGCATTCTCAGACTTAATATTTTAATTTAAATTTAAAAGAATTTAATTATGAAGTAATGGAAATCACTTGCACCATAAATATTTACTAACATACTACACTCATTTGTTTGTTACACACTTTTACTTGAATTTCCATTTATTTAAATGAAGTTCAATGAATCCCAAATCATTATTTTCTGCAGTCAACTCTGATTACATTTAGAATGAAATCATGATTTTAGGTTTCTCAATCTCAGGTTTTCGCACATTTTGCATTATTTTTTTGTGATCCCAGCCATAATGTAAAACACTCTTTGTCTCAATCTAAGGTATTACCCCCATTTAAGGAATGAAGTTTGGGTCTACAATCTGGAACACAGCATACACAGTTCATCACTGACACTAAAAATCACAAGTAATTTGAGTTAAGATGTCAAGTTTCCTTTCTGTCTTAGGATATCCTTTCTCTACATAATGTGAAGAAACCCAACACTTAAATCATTCTACCCTAACATTTATTGAAGGTACCTCCTTTTTCATAACACTTACATCAGTATGTTACTTAATACCTGAATGTTACGCAGCAAACTTTTCCTTGAGATCAGTTAAATAAGGGTATATTATTTATGTGAATTGATTCTGCAATACTGATGCTGCTGCCTCTTGTTTGCAGCCTTACAAACTGGCACTGAGGCGCGAAATATTCACATATTTACACATGAGACAATGAAACTGTTTATTCAGAAATGGTTGGAGCATGGAGGCATTTCAGGCAAGAATTAATTTCACTGTGTCATTCATGTCATTTTGACTTTCAGTACTAATGCTGCCGTCTCTTGTTTCCAGCATCACAAACCGGCGCCCAGGCCGCAATTTGATGGCAGCGCCTTCCCGCCACGATTTGATCTGCATCCGGAAGGCGATTTCTAAATCATAATCAACAATCCATGATTATAATAAAATAAAAATTGCATAAATGAGCCTATTTTGCGGCGCCTCAACCGGCATAACAGGAAAAGGAAACAAAATATATTCAAAGGAATAAAGCTTAAATATTGTTATTACAGCACAATTATTTTGTAATTAATTTTATCGTCGGTGAATGTATTTATTAAATAATAATATTCCAAGTACTGCCCTTGGTGACAGTGGTGCGCATGAGAGTGAGCCAGAGGGTTGTGAATGCCATTCTGAGACACGTATTTGATCAAAAACACAGCCCTAAGCATTATTCTTCGTTCGGTCACAAGTCTCTGGCTCAGCCAGAAGGGAGAGTGGATGCGATGCGATCGTGGCTCACATTGTATGCACGACTTCTTTAAATGCACCAATAAAGAAGTTCATATCAGCATTGTTTTTATAGTCTTCCTTTCCCCTGGCATCCCTCCTAGAAGTTAATATTACTAGTACATCTATCACCTGTGTTTCTACACGTTTCACTACCTCTGATATCACTCCTAGAAATTAATACTATTGATGTATTTATCAACAATGTTTATACATTCTTCCTTGCATCTGATATCAACACCACAATTCCTTAGTTAGTTACAAGTAATCTACTACAGAAATTCATATCATTAACATCTTTACTGTTTGTTTATCTACATTTTTCATTGTCTCTGATCTCTCCTAGATTCAAGGTCAATCTCTTGTACTTTTGGACCTAAGAAATATTTTAAATAGATATTTATTAGGAGCGACAATATGTCCTTATCAGGCACAGTGGCTGATTGTTAGGGGAGTAGCTGAACTTTAACTAAAATTTTTCCCATTCTCGCCACATATCATATTTAAGCTACCAAATTGTACATATCCTCCTCATTATCCTTTTCAGTTTATCCCCACACTTATCATTTTATACCTTTCTTGTGCTGCTTATTCTATTCTATTCTGTTCTCACCAGTCCATGTAAATTTTTTTATGCATTCTATTGTGTATTAATACCTCATTATAATTAATTAACTGTTCTGTCTACATCATTTTCTCAGCCTATTATATGTCCTGTTATACCTAACAAATGCTGCTCTACCCTTCGTTATTATATTACAAAAAAATAATACCTATCCTTATTCTATATAATTCTTTTATACTCTATTATTTGCTTCATATATGCTAATCTCTCCAACTTTCCTAATTGTGATTTTTTATTCTACCCAATTCTATTTCTAGGCTTGGTATTCTTTTTGACCTATTATAGTGATACTATTGTTTAGTGTGTCCCACACAATGTGGAATCCACCGTGACATCCTGCCACAGAAGCAGTGAATAAACTATTCGGAAATGATTTAGTCACAACACAAAACATAGCCATCACATGGCAGCAGGTGGGTTCCAAATAATGTGGAACTATATTTAACTGGTACTCCCCAAGTGTCAAATAATATGTTTAAAAAGTAATGAAGAGGAAAAGTTGTTGAAGGAAGTTGCTCTATATACAGCTCAGAAACAATTATCCTGGTGTGGTTTTTAATGCATGCTTTTAGAAAAAGTCGTAGCTGATATTTAATGAATTCTAAATATCAATTGAAAGATTGCATTATGGAAATTGAGAACATTGTGAAGCATGTGCTATGGGCCTATAAAGAGGACCTGAAACACCCAACCGGTATTTTCGCTAACAAGGTTGAGTAATACATATATTTATTTTTCCAGTCTATACACAGTTTATCGTCTGTGGATATCAGACGTCCGACACATCACAATACAACCTGATAATGAACATCAAAATGCATACTCCAAATCAAGATGAAGACTGAAAATTAAAAATCAATAAACGCAATGCACAAA